TGTGGCATATCCGGATATCCGCATTGACGGAAGGAGGGTCACATGCGAGCGAAAGTGTGGGCGCAACAACGATGCCCCTCATTTATTGTTCTCCGTGGTATCTGTGACGGTCAGCAGACCAGTTGCATAGCTTCTTGATGGCCGAATTCACACCATTGTTCGCATGGGCCGGCAACTGTTTCCAACATGTGATGCAAATGGGTCTGGCCGGCCTTTCCCAGGACCTCGGGCTCCACCCAACGCCGAAGCTACGAAATCTGCAGCCGCCGCAGCACTTCGGAAGATGCGCTGAGCCCTGGCAGAGATCAGATCATGGGGCTGTCCGAACCTGCAAACGGCAGTACTGTGGCAGCTGAGGTTACGACGAGGCCCAAGCGCTCGAGCTTTGACAGTGGCCTGCAGCGCAAAAGCTCGACCTGTTGCGGAGCCCGAGCCGAGCAGCAGAGAAGAGTCAAATGAGTTGCCAAGGAGTGTGTTACATGTGTTACATGACGAGAGCGGGCTGCTCTCTTTCTCTTTCTGTCCGTCCCTTCTCCCTTGCTCCTCGACTTGCCTGCAGCGAGGACAGTATGTCCTGCACAGACAGCAGTGAAAGCGTTTTAGATTGCGAGACTGCATGATCGCCGCATGCGATTTTTCAAGCTCCAGGTTTTCCAGCAGAAGCATGGCGAACGAGCCACGACCATACAAGCATTGGCTGTACATTCCCTAGTGCAGGAAGCAGGTCGTAGACGAAGGGAATCGAGAACGGAGTTGATGCCCATGCCAGCGTGTTTCGGACAGATAAACAGCAGCCAAAGCATCGTGTATGATACTGCAGCCTGAACTTGTTGCGTTCGAGCCCATGCTGGAGCCGGTAACCAGCACGGGCATCATTCTGCCTCTGCATTCAAGCGGTCGACAGGCACCACCGCTCGTACAACTAGCCGACCCAACATGCTTGGATACGTTGCGGCATCCCAGTCCGATCGCACTGTCAGCAAGGGGCCTTCCCCCAACCAGGAAGTCTTATTTAGTTCGCCAATCACTATTTCCACGGCGTGCTTCATTGTCCCCGCGATTGCACCAAAGGAGCAGTGAGCCGCTTTTGCTGAGCCCTCGCCAAAGCGTGGGCCACATCCCGTCGAACCCTGGGAAGTTGGCCCAGGCCGCTCAACGAACCATTGGCCTGCGAGCAAGTTCACCTACGAACTACGTGGCATCTGCTCCGGCTCCGGCACCTGCTGCGGTGCAGACGAATGCGTCTGCGACGAATGGCTATATCCGACCAGCTTCCCCTCTTCTGATTCAAAGGCGGCAGGTTGCGGTGGATAGCCAGTCGACGCCTCGTCTTCACAATGGACAAGTACACAGTCAGAGTCGGGAGCCCCTGACTCTGATGTCCGTGCCACGAGCTCCGAGCCCAGTGGGAAGTCCCGGGCGGTGTCAGGTGGCAAGTCTGGCAAGTCCCTATCGCACCTTTCGGGCCGGTCCTGACGGTCCTGACACCTTGGCTCAGCAGCTACAGGCATTGCAGGAAGCCAAGAAAATGGCAGCTGCGCAGCAGGTAGAGAGTGAGCAGATGATCGCCCAGCGACAGGACCAGCTTCGAAGAGACGCTTGATTGCATAGACATGGGGCCACGGTTGCAGCAGTATTGGCAGTCACACAGTCGATAATCCTGTACGGGTTGCGGCCAATGTTGCTCTGCAAGACCTTGTCGTATAGTGGAAAGTCTGGTCAAGCATTGATTGGCTGACATGCGGTGAACGCCCGAGAGCGACCGAAGGAGACATACAAAGCTTTGTGCGGCAGCGCGCTCTCAGAGGACGCTTGCCTGAAGTCCTGCGTCTGTGCTCACGTGGCATCGTTGCAAGTTCGAGTTCAGATTTTGTTGTGCAGAGGTGCCGAGGTTTCAAACACCGAGCACACACATTTCTCATGCATACTTGCGTACGTCCGTACACACAGAGGTATACAGAGGTTTGTGCAGGGGTGTTCTTTCACGTTCTCTTGTCCTGGGGAGCGGAGCGCTGTGTCCGGGTCATGGCAACTGAGCCTAGATATGTGCCGAGTCAGATGTGGTTGCATTTGCGACGAGCTGATGACATATAGACCACTTACAGGATGCAACGTCTGCAAGTGAATCATCACAATGCAGCAGGCCTGGTCATTCCATGATTCGGCGCTCATGCATAGTCGTGTACCCCTTCCGGACAAGCTAGCTAGTTGGTGAACGGCTTGCTACTCATGCACTTGTGGATCTGCTAGCACTGGACCATGAGGACGTCAGTCCAGAGGTTGCCACCAGATCTTTGGCGCAGACCGTGCGGCGACCAGCCAGCATTCGAGTTTCGTTCTGCGCGTGGGGTTTCTCCAGTACAGGATCGCATGCGATGTTCGGAATTTGCTGACGGATAGTTGGTGGTTCTGTAAGATTAGCAGTCCCACCTGACCTTGCTGCGGATGAGTTCCTTCCATTTAGCCCAAGCTTGGTGCAGCGGGTTTTTCGTGCAACTGTTAACGGTCGAGCGTTAGACAGCCGAGGCAGTGGCCCTTGCCGGAGAAGCCGTGGCATGCAGTCAGCGATCGAAGCTTGGCATTGTAGGCTTGAAGATACGGCTTGCCAGTGGAAGCCCCGTTCCTTTGCTCCACCTGAGTCTACAGTCACCCGGAAAGGCTTTGTGGGATCAACGTCTGCAACAATAAGACAGGATGATCTCAAGGCCAAATTTGTCGGACGTGATCCGAACTCGGAGTAAATGCTGTAGTCTACTCTACTGTGATAGTAGCCAGTTTGATACAATACTGCTTGAATTCTTCTCCCGATCTGAATTTTGGTTGGCGAGCCTTTTCGAGACGTGCTCGGTTCAGCGAAGCTATGTATCTCAGGCGGGGAGGTCGTGGCCCTCCACCAGGCTTCTGAGGACGGGTGGGCTCCAGTTCCATTGCTCTCGATTTTAGCATGCTGTGAAATCATTTGAGACCCTTCGGTCTTACCGGAGATATCAAGCAAGAGTCTTCTTGATCTTCTTTGTATTCATGCCCCAGACCGTGGGAGGCTTGCGTACTCCGCGCAGGCAAACGTACTATTTCGGTAGAAGCGGCTGTAAGATGGTTAGCATGCGCAGGACAGCGCAGATCAAGTCCCGGAAGAGCTCCCCAGCGAGTCAAGATCGATTTCTCCACTCAGGGACCATCGAGACCCTTCAAGCCCAGAGGATTCATTACCAGAAGCCACAGAACCGGCTTCTGCCGGACCGAAGGCGATGGAGAGGGCCAAGGTAATAACCCCGTCGGCTTCCATTCCTGCGCACAAGTCTTCCGGAAGAGTCAGCATTGGGCGCACTGGACGGCCCGCGCCTTTGTATCTTCCACAGGAAGATGTCCATCGATGTTCCCACGAGTTGAAGACAATCGCACACGGGATATCAACGATACACCTGCGTGAGCTTCGGATGCTCAAGCGCCCTCCTGCGGCAGTGGTGACTGTTCTTGAGGCTTTGAAAGTCATCTTGGGCGAGAGCCAAACCGGTGGCTTCAAGAAGCTGCTGTCCGACTCTCTGCCACAGAGGCTGGAAACTTTCGATCCATCCTCATTGAACACGCAGCAAGCTTCTAAGCTAAAGTCGTTGCTCGGTTCCGGAACTATCCATGCCGAATCCATGTCGAAGATGTGCCAGCCTTGCACAAACTTGACGAAGTGGTGCGATTGCATCTATGGGTTGTTGCTCGGTGAAGTACGAGATAGCGGCAGACGTGTGACCGAGGAGGTAATGGGGCGCAGGAACACCGACTCTTCCAATTCTCACGGCACAGGTAGCCACACAGATCTTCACGATCGGCAGACAAGCAGGCATGCCGGTCTCTTGCATGTCGAACCTGACTTGTCCAAGCTAAGCAAGGAAGAGCTGGCATCAGTACATGAGCTCACTGTGACCAAACCTGGTATAGGCTCAGTCCTGTTCCATGGTGTTACAGACTGTACTGACCTGGACATTCAATCGGACATTGTGCTCAAGCGGGGGTATGTGCTGGTGTACCCAGACGCCTCACGAAAGCCTCCTGTCGGCCAGGGTCTCAACAAAAGGGCCACGGTCACAATGTACCAATGCTTCCCACCTGGGGAGCGCGTGGAAGACAAGCAGGTGTTGGAGGAGTACAGAACAAAGATCAAGACAATGACCGAGGAGAACAGAGCATGCAAGTTCATTGACTACGATTGCTTGACTGGCGTATGGACGTTTGAGGTCGGACGGTTCTGAGGGGTGATTCGGGACGGCTTTTCCAGACCTGCGGCATTGAAAGAGGCAACTGCACACCAAAAACAAAACATGCCTTTTCGGTCCGTGGTCTCGTGTATTTTGATTTGTTATGAACACCTGACAGCCCTCCGTTGTCCGACACCCAAGTCTGTGTACAAAAGGGTGGGGACTGTAAGTGATGGGCGGACGGCCGAAAGCCCGCACCGGCGACATGGCCCGCATCATCACAAGATGGAAAATGAGAGGAACGCCTGGGGATCCGAGAAACGGACAGGACCACTTGCAGGCAGCCGAAAGTCCAGAGACGCACGAGCTGTTACCGAATCATGTTCAGGGTAAGGAAGCCAGACTTTGTGCATGCTTGTCGCATTTTCCTGATCAGCTCCTTGATAGCCAGTCCTGGCTGCCGGGTCCTGGGACGAACCTGGCGACAACACTAGGGTCGCTGATGCTATCAATATGCACATCAGTGCAAATGTGCTTATAGGTACACACCTTGTCCAGCGTCGGGGGCCGAATGGGCAGCATGTAGCCGGTCATGTCATAGACAGCCGCTGAAGCATTTTCAAGCCAATTGATTATTCTGCAGGCGACACACCGGAATGCAGCACTGCATCAATCTCGAGAGCACCTTCTTCCCAACCGACTTGAATCAAGCAGACCTGCAGCAATACATTGGTTACTCTTGCCATGTCGGGCCCGCTTGTGAGCCCACGCCTGACGCCGCCTCGTCTGCCGACACCTCCGCCGTTGCTGATGCCACTTGTTCCGTGCCCTTTGCTTGTGCCTTGGTCTGGTATGAGGTATGTACCCTTTTTTGCAGGAGACGCATGGTCATGCATCCAGCTGTTGTCGCATCATCAGGTTAGCACACCACCGCAGCAGCCAGTAGCAAATCCAATCTCCTTCCACGCATGCTACAGCACCTCCCCTATGGGACCTTCGCATGTGGCCAGAGGGCCTTCGCCCACTCGCCGAGCATGGTCGCCTCCACCGCAGATGATGCCCAGAACCCTCTCACCACCTCCACTGCAAAGAGTGCAGGAATCCACCAGGCTTTGCAGCCCTCCCAGGCTTGCGGCTCAGGCTCAAGCTCAGGCGGTCCACATGCAACAGTTCTCCCCGCGGCCGCATCCGCGTGCTCCCCAATTGCTTCCGCGCTCTGCCCAACTCCCTGCGGCCAGCCTGGCCAGCAAGGCCAGCCTCCCCAGACCACAGACCCAGCGGAGCCCTGGCCCTCAAGCCCAAAGCCAGACCCAGACCCAGACACAGCGGAGGCCGATCCCGCACCCAGCCGTCCATGTTCCTCCTGCGACGGTCTTGGCTTCGCACGGTGCAAAGCCTGTCCCCATAGGCGCACGCCCACCTGCCAGTTGGGTGCCGGCTTCCCCACGTGTCCCTGATCCATTCCAGAGACCTGCGTCCCCGCATTTGGTCAACACGCAGCACTTGCCAGTCGAGTACATCGCATCTCCAGAGCAGATGCGACTGGGCAGCGCTGATCTGCAAAGCTTGTGTCTGCGAAACCTTTGGTCAAAATCTGAAGCGTTCACATGCTTTTCCCGTGATGCCAGAGCCAAGGTACCGCATGCTTGCTACACAAGGAAGCATGGCACCTCCCATGGTCTTGCAACTGGGATGCAGCCGAGACATGTGTCGGTACTCGTCATGAGATGTCATGAAAATTGAATTGAAGGCAGCTTTCCGCGCGCTCCAGTCCAGAGCTCACGCCTCGGAAGCCCGCAGCCGAGAAGCTCAGCGCGAGCCCTCAGGAGGAGGCGCGATGTGAGGCAGAAGGTCGGCAGTGACCGCAGCTCCCTGGCAGGAGCCCGCGGATTCCTTGGCGAAGCAGCTGCGCGCCCTTCAAGCAGCAAAGGCCGGTGCACGACTCGCGAGAGCAGGGGTAAACTTGAGGAAGAGAGGCATCGGCACCAGCAAGGGAAGAGCGGACATTGCCAGGTTGATGCTGCTGCCAAGCAGGCTCGAGGGGCTTGCAAGCGGCTTGCAAGCGCGAAGCCGGCAGCCTCCGAGCTGACAGGTCAAAGGCGACCAGCTGATAGCGCAACGTCAAGACCAGCTGAGAAAGGAGCCGAAACTAATCTTGCAGGAAAGCACTTGCTGCGTTCCGTGATCCCCCTTCTTGGAAACTGACATCGTGGGGTTCCGTGATGTTACATGGCCTGAAGGCCGTTACGGCCCATGGCAGTTTAGGTTGGGTCGGGTTTGGGGTTGCCATTGTCGCTCATTCAGTTTATGTTGTCAAGGGAGAACACACACCTGCACCCGTACCCAGCCAAAACCAACTTGAATGGCAGCTTTTCATCGCAATGTACCGTGCTGTTTGACATATTTGACCACGGCGGCCTTTTGTGTTCGTGATTGTTGATGTGCTAGAGGCTTAGAAGCGTCCCGTTTTCCAGCTACATGCCATGAGAACGAGCGCAAACGCGTCGAATCAGGAACACGAGCCTGAAAACAGGAACCCCCCAAGTCGGAAAGCGGATCCGGCCGAGACGGAAAGCAATGAAAACATGCCTGTGGACCTGCTGCGAGGAATCTGGGTTGCGCTGTGGCGAGAGCGAGACAGAGGAGAGAGGAGGGAGACGAAGACAAAGGGGAGAGAGCGAGAGAGGGACAGAGAGAGAGGGGGAGAGATACCTTGCAAGAATGTACGTTCACTGAATCTTCCTTATCGTATACATGACGGCTGTTGCCTTTGGTCGGGCTACATTAGTACTTCATTCCCTCTGTCCCGGCAAAAGGATTGGGCGGGCTTCAAGCCCGAGGGCCTTGACCATCCCTCCTGTCCGGGAGAGAGAGAAAGAGAGGGAGACTTGCAATCATCGCCTATGTCCACGCCTTTGTGGCTTCGTACTCACATCGGTTTGGAGCCGCTGTGTACAGGGGTTTAGAAAGTATGCATGTTGTGGTTTGGGGCTTAGGGGTTTAGGGTCGTGTGTGCCGACTTCCCAGCTGATGATCAGAGCCTGGGTTCAAAAAAGGGGTTTAGGGTCTCACTAAGTGATTGTGGTCAAGTGTTCGGCTTGGAGGAGTCGCAGCAGGCCATTTGCAAGAGGGTCTGAGCACAAGTACAGATAAGTTCATGCACGGGAAAGCCAGAGTCCAGAGACCCTGGAACCCTGTAGATTAAGTTCCAAGTTCAGAGCTCTGAGCCCACACCTGTTTTCCGACTCGGCTCACCCGTTTTCCGACTCGTTGTTTCTGACTCGGCTCCCACCCCCATGACAACCCATTCCTGACCGGCGCTGCCAGGGGTGAGCTATAGGTTCAGGCTTTAGAGGGATGGACCGGCAACGAAACTTGAACCCCACAGAGAACCTCGACTGTAGAAGCCTCGTCGTCGAGGTCCTGTCGTCGTGTTGGTTGTCGTGACCGTCGTTGCGGGTTTTGTGGTTCGTGGTCGGGGCCATAGTCGTTGGTGGTGGTCGTCATCAGCATCAGCATCAGAATCAGCATCAGCATCGTCGTCATCATCATGGTGACGATTTCGGCGCAGACGATGATGATGATGATGGTGATGATGATGATGATGATGATGATATGGGTAGGTAGGGTTCGACCTGCAGCTCGAGCTGCGGCCTCCACCAATCTTCCCCGCCCAGCATCTCAGGGGCTTCCGTAAACGTCATCAGCCCCCTCCGGGCATTTAAGCGAACAGAGTAACCAGGGAGGATGACAAGGACCGTGGAGGAGGCGCTCGCGGCCATCCGGGGAGAATTGCAGGTGAGAGGCCGGCCCTGAGTGGCCCTGAAAGAAAGGGGGAACTTGAGACCAGCCCCAAGTCTGGGTTTCCAGCCCGGAAAAGGGGGTCTGGGCCAGAGGAGGGCGGGGTGCGGAGCGGGGAAATGGGGATGCGAAGGGGAAAGACGAGAAATGCGGCCGCGAGCGAGAAAATAAGAGAGAAAAAAAGAAGAGCGGAAAGGGCCGGAGGCCATAGATTCCAGGCAGTGCAAAGGCGAGGGCCGCTTTTTTCACTGGGAGCGGCACAAGCAAGTCTCGTTGCAGGACAGCACGGAGTGTTTGCGAAGCGGAAGCCTCCAAAGTGGAAGAAACGGACCTACTTGACGAGGTCGTTTCGTCAGACCATCGATCTCGGGGCGAGAAGGTGGGTGTGCAACGACATGAAGAGCCCTGCTTAATGGACGACGTGGAAAATAAGAAGCGGACCTACGGCCTTACGATGGTCGTTTGCCCAGAAACTCGATCTCGGGGCGGCGAGAAAGGGCGGATGAGGATGAATGAGGAGCCCCCCGATCTCGGAGCGAGAAGGGGTCTGGAACGACGTGAGGAGCCCTGCTTAATGAAGTGGAAAGTAAGAAGCGGACCTACGGCCTTTCGATGTCGGGGCGGGGGAGAAAGGGCGGACTGGAATGAGGATGAATGACCGATCTCACACTCGCACTGCTCACAAGACACAGCGACACACCACAAAACCGTAAAAACCTGAGCGCTTAGAGCCCTAACGCTATCCCCACACCACTTTGCCGGCCCTAAATGCTGCAGAACCCGCATAGAAACCTGCTACAGAACTTTCTATTGCAATAGCACAGTATACTTTGAGAGTACGGTATTATTAATATGCTACAATAAGATAAACGGCCAGCTGCACATGAAATTGCTGAAACAGCAACTTTCGTGGCTTCAGAATACACCGTCTGGAGACAGACGTACTCCTCGAAGTCTGCTTGTTATGATGATCTTGGTTGCGGCAAGTTCTGCAGAGGCCATGCTGCCCGTGCGGTCAAATTATCAGGCAACAAACCAGGACAAAGATATTCAGTATTGCCCTTAGTTACTGTTCCCGGTCGGAACGACATGAGGAGCGAGGGTCGTTTACCCAGACCCCGATCTCGGGGCGAGAAGGGAGTCGGGAGCGACGTAACGAGCCCTGGATGGAAGCGGACCTATGGCCTTACGAGAGTCACTTACCCAGAGAAGGGGTTTGGAACGACATGAAGCGCACCAAAGGGTCGTTTACCCAGACTCCCCGCTCGGGCGAGAAACGAGCCCTGCTTGGTGAACGAAGTGGAGAGACGCGGACCTACGGCCGGGACGATTACACAGAAATTTGAGTCTGGGCGATCTACATGAGGAGCCCTGCTTGGTGGACGAAGTGGCAAGAAGCGGGGCCTGCGGCTTTTTGGAACGGGGAGCCCTGTTTGGTGGAGGAGGTGGAAAGAAGCGCGTCTACCCAGACGATCGGAGCGAGAAGACGGTTCTGCAGCGACTTGAGGAGCTTTGCTTGGTGACGAAGTGGAAAGAAGCGGAATCTCGGAGCGAGAAGGAGGGTCTGGAACGACATGAGGAGCCCTGCTTGGTGACGAAGTGGAAAGCAGCGGACCTACGTGGAAAGAAGCGGACCTCCGGCCTGCAGGGGTGTTTACCCAGACCCCCCAAACTCAGAGCAAGCAGGGGTTCTGGAACTGCATGAGGAGCCCTGCTTGGTGACGAGGGTCGTTTACCCGGACCCCCGATCTCGGAGCGAGGACCCCGATCTCGGAGCGAAGTGGAACGACGACTTGAGGAGCCTTGCTTGGTGACGAAGTGCAAAGAAGCGGACTTACGGCCTTACGAGGGTCGTTTACCCCCGATCTCGGAGCGAGAACCCGGAGCGAGATGAAACGACTTGAGGAGCCCTGCTTGGTGACGACGTGGAAAGAAGCGGACCTACGGCCTTACGAGGGTCGTTTACCCAGACCCCCGATCTCTGAGCGAAGACGGGGGGTCTGGAACGACATGAGGAGCCCTGCTTGATGATGGAAAGAAGCGGACCTACAGCCTTACGAGGATCGTTTATCCAGACCCCCCACCTCGGAGCGAGAAGGGTAGTCTCGAATGACATCACAGCCTTGCTTGGTGACAAGGGTCGTTTGCTCAGACCCCCGATCTCGGAGCAAGAAGGGGGGTCTGGAATGGCAAGGAGGACTGTCGGCGAGCGAGGAAGCGGGAGAGAAGCAAGGAGAGGGGCACTGTCACCCCGACGCATCTGTCGAACCAAGGCGTGGGTGCTCATCGGGCTGAAAACGAAGCCCTTAGTGCCGCTCCGGGGGTCCACACACCTTGAGGGAGGGGAAACGACAGAAGATTGCGACGGGCTCCAGGGTGATGATGGTACTCTTTGAAGATGACGATGGTCATAGTGAAAAAGAAGAGGATGAGGATGATAGTGTGGATGATGATCATGATGGTAGCGGTGACAACGGTGATGACATTGGCGTTGGCGTCGTTGTTGCAGTTGCTACTAATGGTGCAGTCGCTGCTGCTGCTGCTTCCTTTGTTATGGTTGTTGGGTGTATTTTTTTGTTGTTGCTGCTGTTGATGCTGTGTTTTTGTTGCTGTTCTTGTCGCTGTTGCTGTTGCTGTTGCTGTTGCTGTTGCTGTTGTTGTTGTTGTTGTTGTGGTTGTGTTTGTGTTTGTGTTTGTGTTTGTGTTTGTTTTGTTGTTTGTTGTTTGTTGTTTG